TCACAGAATTGAATTTTTTTTGACAAAGGGTAATATTTTTCCGATTAATTTTCGGCAAAAGAATATACCAAATTTAGTTAGTTTTTATAGCCAAAAAAGAAATTTTTCTGACCGTTTTGGGAAAAAAATATTACGTTTTAGATTTATCCTTTAAAATCATCTCATCAAATTGAATAGTCATCCGTTTCAATGATTTTGTTTGCGAAATTCGTTCATAACATCGTCACCAATCCTGCGGGCCAATTTTTCTTCTGATAACGAACTTTGTTCAATTTAATTTTCTATGTAAACTTTGTAATTATCATGAATGTCGAATACAGGTAGAATGAAGGAGTCGAATACAGGTGCAAGTTTCCATTATTCGAACTTTCTCGACCACAGACAATGGCTTTGAATTAGCGTGTAAGTATTCTGATATTTTAACCTTGGAAAAAATTCCCAAAAACGAAGCTATATCAATCTTGAAAGTAATTGGATGCAACATAACTCAACATCACATTTTGTATAGTCGTTCAGATACAAGTGGCTTGAATTATTCCATGTCTTAAATCACTCCACCTTCCAAGGGGGAAACTACTACTACCGCGTAATTCATATTAATACAATCTAGTACAACAAAAATTCTGAAAAATTCCGAAAAATTCTGCGCAATTCAAAACAATTCCAATCAATTCCGATGTTCCTTGGTCAAATTTGGTGATGATCAACTTGAAATATCGCAAATAATCGGGACATTTACCATTCATTTGAATGCATATTGAAGATTTTTACTTCCAGAACATATTTGACTTGGTTTGATCTACAAGACTCAATTCTAGCTCTGTTTTCTATTTTGAAAATATTTTATGTATCATAAAGCCTTTACCTATTTGAAGTGAAATATTGAATTGGAAGTGAGACCTATGTACAATTAAAAACGCCCTATCTGAAGTTATTTCGATAAGATTGAACATCTTTGCGCTTAAGCATTCCTTTGAGATGCTAAATGACCCTATATTTGCAATTTTTGGAGTTGATCATCATCAAATTTGACTTAGAAACATCGTTATTGATCGGAATTGTTTTGAATTGCGCAGAATTTTTTGGAATTTATCAGAATTGGAGTTGTACTAGATTGTATTAATATGAATTATGCGGTAGTAGTAGTTTCCCCCTTGCCACCTTCACTAAGTATTCAAAAATGTAATAAGAGTTCAAGGCCTTTTTAGTTTATTTAAAGAGCAATAAAGTTCTCGGAAATTGATTTCAAATTCAGTTCAAAGGCTATCAAAACGAAGGTACAAAAATGTATATCTGATATGGACGTTACTATATGTTCAAAAGTTTTACGATGGGCATTCAATTTGGTAGCCAAGTGAAATGTGATAATTGTGGAATTGGAAAATTATTTTCTTCTCTACGATAAACGGAAAACTCCCATAAAGGGTGCAAGTAGAATACATAACATGATTGATTACATGCGTCACGTTCCCATCATCTAGTTCCTCAATTGCTTTCGACTTTTTTTCGACATAAAAACCGTTTCGGACAGTCCTCGAAATCAGTTGATCCACACACTCGACGTCGGCCTGTGCAAATTGTCCAAAGAATCATGAAAATCTTCACTGAATTGAAGATGATTTATAAGATAGTGGGAGTTGAAGTGAATCAAACAAATAAGTTCAATGTAAAAAATGTGCTGGCTCTTTGTCTCGTTGCTTGTTGTTTCAGTGCAGTAATTGTGTTTTTGGTGTTTGAAAAGTCGAATTTCATTAATTCTTCAAAGGCATTTTTTGGCACTGTGACTCTCATTCTCACTTTTGTCAATCTGTATTCAACTGTGTTGCAACAGCATAACATTTTCAATTTGATTAGCAAATTTGAATCAGTTATTGATAGCAGTAAGTGACTTAGTATGACTTAGAAGTCATGTATAAAAAGTAGGAACAGTATAATATCCAATTTTAAAATTGAAAACTCCAAATTTTAAAATCGATAGGATCGAATAATCGCGCAAGATACAACAAAGTCAACAATTTAATTGAAAATTGGACAAAATTTATATGGGTCTCCGCCATATTCTCAATGTCATTTCTTTACGCATCACATTTGATTGTGAGCTATTACCACTTTTTCACCGGCCATGGAATTGAATCTTTTATTATGAATTTCCCAATGATGTAAGTTTGAACTTCAGACTCTAACTCTTACCATTTGATACGTACTTAGACGTCTTTCACTGAAGAAACTAGATTTCTTTTAATTGGATTAATCGAACTAAAAATATTTCTGGATTTCAGAGTACCATTTGATTGGAAAACACCATTTGGATATTTAATCGCTGCTGCTTTTCAATCGACAGCATTCTATTTTCTTGTGGTCACCGCTTGTTGCATTTTGGGCTTTTTGATTGGAATTTGTTTGCTACTGATAACAATTACAGATGATTTTAAAAGTGAATTTAGCGTCGAATGTGAACTAAATGAAGATCCGCTCACATTTAAACGGAAATTCATTGGTTTTTTTCAGTTCTATGCAAACATTAACCAGTTTAGTTCAGTTTAAGATTCAAAAATTGTAATGAATTTTAAAAATTGTGTCTTTCTTCTAGGCTTGTTTCGGAATTTTCAAATATTTGTTATATAGTTATCAGTAGTTATTATGTGTGGAGCATTTCCACCATTTGCGCTACGCTTCTGGTACTTCACATTCAAGGGGTAAAGACAAACTTGATTCGTTAATGCCTTTACCATAGGACATGGTTAAAAATTATTCATTGATTGACATTTTAAATGTCAACATTCCTTTAACAGCATTCTGGGCATGCAACTGAGATTGTAAATGCGTTGATAACAAGCTATTGGTGTATCATTCAAATTTTCTTATTTTGTGAATTGGGCCAAAGGATTACGGATCGATTCAGCCAAATTCCAAATGCAATTTACTATCGCAACTGGTATGTATTTCCCAAAGACGTACAAAGGATATTACCAATCTTTATGCTGGCAGCTGAACAACCAGTTTTCCTTCAAGGATTTGCCAATCTAACATTCACACGTGAATCCTTTAAAAAAGTACTAGAAATCTTTTTTTATATCACAAAGATGAATGTCGGTTTGAAACCCGTGTGTTTACACTATTTTCAGGTCATTCGAGGGACATTCTCATATTTTATGACGCTTCAACAATTTGAACACTAGTCTTTGATTGATGGAAAGCAAATTATTCTTGATTGATATAATGATTACAAATATCATAGTTAATGTAGTTTTGGAACGTGAATTCAATGTATACGTAACTTCAAACAGAAAATTGCTTTGAAAAAAGTAATTTAATGAACTTTTGTTCCAGTTTGTAATTCACCCACATAAATATCTTGGATATTGCTTGAAAATCTATTTTTATTAACCGTACGATTAAAATTTTCTTGAAACATGGCAACACAAAAAGTTCATTTTACTCAACGTGAAGCATGAATTAAGCTACAATCTTTTAGCGCCTAAAAGTAGACGGAGGCAACGAATGAGGTATGGATCTTGATTTAACCACGTCACAAAACTTGTTCAATATGTTTTGTATGACTTTTCCTGCAATTCAAAAAGTTAAACGTTTCATCGATTGAATTTGCTTGTTCCACTGAACAATTGTGTCATTCGAACCTTGTATTGTTTTTGATGTATTATTTTTTTTTCAGATTGGACCGTATATTTTGTGTATGATAGTAGTCAGCTCGAAATCATAGTTGGTGCATTGAGCGTTTGACAGATATACAGCCTGTACATTAGCGTCACTTACTGAATCAAACAAAACAAAACACACCAAACGAATGAAACCAAATGTAATGAGTGTTTGTTGAACACTGTTTAATGACACTTGAAACACAGTCGCTAGACGAATCCATCGCAGAATCTTCCTTTTTGTTTTGTTAGCGCAATGGGCGCCTTGTATTTTACGCCTTCAAAAAATGAATTGCATTTTGAACTCAAATTGCACACACTATTGTTTCGATTGTGCATTGAATGATGAGCCTTATATCATTTTTAAATAACAATATATTTCAATTTCAAGCAAAAACGTTTTTGTTTTACAATCACTTCAATCACACGTGTTTATTTCATGGTTTATTTTCATTACTAAAATCATTTTCTATGACACTAAAATGCCGTCAAATATCCAATTTACAAAGCTGAATAGCCCAATAAGTCGTCATATCCATAGCTGTGAGCGTAGGCATCCACAAGTGGAGTATGGACCAATGGAGCAGCTACAACTGGAGCATGGACTAATGGAGCAGCTACCCATGGGGCAGCTATAACTGGAGCAGCTACCAATGGAGCAGCAACAGGGAGACCGTGTCGTAGTGCGAAGGCGGAGTTGCCGTGGTATTCTTCAGACAACAATAATCCTGGTCTGGCTACTACGACAGCAACGAAGCAAAGGACGGCGATGATCTGAGGATTTTATGAAAAATTAATAGTCAAATGCATGCAAAATTTCGAAATCGATTTCGGTAAACATGTGGCCATTTAGAATTCTACACTAATTCGGTTTGAATTTTCCATTGAACACAAGACTCGTACCCAGTATTTAACTTTTGCTCATAATTTCAACGCGTTAATTTTTGATACAAATTCATTCTTACCAATTTGAACATTTTGATTGTTTTTGAGCGACTAATTCGTGTTATCAACTTGAATCGAATGATTTGGTCCGAGAATCTTCATGCTTTTATATGTGCGATCTACTATTGTTTACTTGTAACACATTGCGTTGGGTTCTTCTTTTTCTTCGAGACAACAAAGACTAAATGAGGAAAATGACAAAAAAAATGTATATTAAGTTCAAGAGTGTTATCGTTCGTCTGGATCGCGTCGACCCGTTTTTTTGGCAAACAAAACACTTCCTCATTTTCCTTTTGATAAACAAAATGAATGGTTAACCCAATTCGTCATCGTGTTATATATGTATGGACAGCTTTTTGTTTGACAAGTTTTGAGCTTACGCACTGAAAACTGGTGAAAATATCACAGTGTCATAGCATGCTTATGATTATTATTAAACGATACTCCTGTTTATTGACTCGGTGAATTTTAAATAGATTGAACATTGATTGAACCGTTTTGAAGTCACAACGCCAAAAACTGTTGATTTCCTAAGCAACAATGAACACTCAATTACGTTACCTGACACTATTTTCACACGGTTTTGAATATAAAAGAGTGTGGCTATAGTTAAGTAGAGTGTGAAGTCGTTTGACATCATAATTATGGTGTGAAACAGCCGTGTGGATACAGTGTAGGTTCCACGTGGATTGAATGTGAATATTTGCTTGAGTTTGTTTTATAAATTTTGCACCGAAAACAAAATTGGTATTCTCAGAACATGATCATCCTAAATGAATGAAAAAAATGAATGTGCAGATCTTTTATTCCATTAACATGGGATATTTCCAGAGAAAAAAAAAATCAAAATCAGTGACAAAAAGTATGGGACGATTTGGGTTAAATCAATAATGGCACGTCTGTTATTCTGATCCAATACACACAAAATTCGCTTTGGTTGCTTTGGTTTTCTTTCAAATAGAACTAGATCAACAGAGTCCCCAAAATTTATGCATGATTACATTGTAAACATCGTCTCTATACGATAAATTATACAGCGTTGAATCCGGTTGACGAGACAAACTGCATATATTCGAAATGAGACAATCATCAAAAGAAGCTCATGCTACTAAACATAACGTGCCACATTAACATAATGGTCTTTTCGGAAGCTTACATTTTATAAAAGATAACACTTTCAACCGAATATACAGGTTGGATACATAGACCACCATACCCACAAATAATTCGGCATATGAATTTATTTCGGCTTAAATTTAACTCGAATTCGCTAAAAAAAATTAACTTAAATTTTTTATCGAAAGTCAGAACAGCGGCGAGCGACAGTCAGTGTTATAGTTACGTCAGAAGGGAATGACTAGATGTTTTCTTTTATATTCTAATTTAATAAATATCAAAAAATCTGAATTCTTTTGAATTAAACCTAGATCGATGAAACGAGATATTTTTGATTTTAAATTAAAAAGAAAGGATTGATTTTGAACATTTTCGAAGAAATAAGAAAAAAACAAACTGAAAGAATGTAGAGAAACGAAAGGAAAATAAGTCCTTGCGGGTTTGAAAAAAATAATGGAAATAAAACAAGAAAAAAAGAAAAGTGCCAGCGACACATGGTGTTCCCGGACGATCACCCATTCAAATGCAGCTCAACTTCAGTGATCGGACGAGAGCTGGCGCTTTTTACATGATATGTTCGTTTACAAATGTTAACCGAGATTTTGTCAACATAACGGACAATACTTATGCGTATAGCTTGGGCAACGAATGCAAAATGTGCAAATTCATTCATGATATATCAATGAGTTTAATTTGTAAAATAGGTAGAGTATTTTTGCTTCTTTGGCCAATGACCATTGACCATTGATATCAAAGCATTCATCGTGTCTTTGCTAAATTCAGATCTGGCGAGTTAGTCAAACACCGAAAAAGAAAGAAACGAACGAAAGGTAAAACATAATGAATATTTTGCAAATTCGGCATTTAGTTGATACTTTATATGTTTGGTATTGAAAGCAAAATATTAAGCTCAATGATTGAGGGTCTTCACAGACATAAATTAGAATGATTCTTAGGCACTCGGTTATTGTAAATTTAAATGAAACACACCATGGGTTTTTAGATTATTTTATATTCAATATAGTTTCTCAGAGAGTGTTAACATCTTGATCAGATTGACTGTTTACCATGTTTTGCCAAAGCCGATTGTTTTGGTGAATGTTTGCGGTTGTTGTTGAACGACGTAGGTTTGAACACTGTGGCCTGGTGCTGATTCATAAGCTACTGATGGAGCGGCATGGACGTATTCTACTTGAGCTGGAGCGGCTTGTTGGACGTATTGTACTTGAGCTGGAGCGGCTTGTTGGACATAATGGACTTGAGCTGGAGCAGCAGCAGCCTGAAAACAATTAATAAAAATTATTCGACTCTGTTTGATAAAAATCATTTTGAATTCGCAATTTCAACTGCACTCGAGTACAAAATGACGAAATATCATGAAAAGAATGAGATCGAACGAATTCATAGCAGCGACAATTTTCTTTGATAAACAATCAAACCATAAATTTGACATATGTTCTGCATTAATGTGCAACACACGCGAGAAATAAATGAAAAAATTGTTTTTAGGTTGAATTCGTTCGAAACCCGTCTCAGCCTTTTCACAACATATTGTGTGTCAACAATGAATAATGCTTCGCTCTTTCTAGATCACTTCACTACTCTCCTAAATTAATGTCTGTCTATTTAACCATTGAATCGACAAAATTTGAAATCCTTTTCGAAGCCGCGAGATATCAAATAGCATGCATACAGATGGACATTCAGCTTAATATATTTAAATATTTGTTAGCCCTACATATTGTACATGTTGTGGAGCTGATTGCACTACCACGGTTTGGACTTGTGGAGCTGGGGCACTGTAAACTGGGGCAGCAGCGGCATAATGAACTTGTGGAGCGCTTTTGACAACGATAGTTTGAGCTGGAGCACTGTAAGCTGGAGCACTGTAAGCTGGAGCACTATAAGCTGGGGCGCCGAAGTTGATTGATTTTGAGAAGAAAAGACCTGGTTTGGCTGATGCAACAGCAAGTGTGCAGAAGACGGCAACGATCTATGAATCAAGAGGAAATTTAATCAATAAAAGGCCCTTCAATTTGATGATATGAGAAGCAAAAAAAAGTTTCTTACCAATTTGAACATTTTGGCGGGTTTTTGTGGTGTGCTACTCGGACGATTGGCTTGAGTGAAATGATTTCGATCCGATGGCCTACATGGTGTTATATACCATTCTAACTAAGCACGCATAACGCATGTGATATCATTCTAACAATTCCGTGGTCGATGGTCGATGAGAACGATGTTCATTGTTGCCATAAGAACAAAATATAGATCGTTCGAAATTTATTAACCTTTTAAGACGTTCAAAAGTGTGTATTCCATAGCGACAAAAACATACGCTTTTAATTTTTATGAAAATTTACAGTCTCGATAAAATATCTCATCAACCTGTTCCGTATTTTGATTTAGGCGTTTTATGAAATTTCCATTGAAATGAATTTCAAATCATCAGTAAATACACCCAAAATTAATGCTTTCGAATGTTGTGTATTCGCACAAGAGCCAAAACTGGATTTTCGTTTATAGTATATAGTAGTTGAACGATCCGCCTACAATATTTAAATCCAAATCGTAACACGAGTGCAAATATTCTAATGGAATCACTAGCCGACTGTTTTCAAATGTTTTGGCCAATAAATTTTGATTTTTGACTGGTTTGAAAAATTGAAAAAATTCAAACCAATAGACGACTGCGGTTAATTTCAAATAAAATAATGTTCGGTAAAAAAAGTTCTAAAATTTGGCGACGATGATTAGAGGAATAACTAACAATTTTCGAATTCAATCGATTTGACTAGTTTTAGTTGTTCTACTGCTACGAGCTAGTCATTCCATTTGCATACGGGAACGGGAATATCTTCGAGAGAATCATTGGGTGATGATCAAAGAAATGAT